TTTTTTTTTTTTTTTTTTTTTTTTTTTTTTTTTGGTACTGGGGATTGAACTTGGGTCCTTGTGTTTGCAAGGACCACTGAGCTAAATCCCTGGCCCTTATTTTAAATTCTTATTTAAAAATTTTTGTTTTTTCCCACTCTTCAAATTCTTCCTTTTTTCTTTCTTCTTTTTCCAACTCAATCTCTTGCTCCCCTGCATTCATCTCCCTTTTTGTTCCTGTTCTTGACCTAACTCAGATTTCTTCTTTTTCTTTTCTTTTCTCGTTTTCCTTCGCTTGTCATTAGCTTCAAAGGAAAGTGATTACAATTTATAGCGTCCCTATTCCTGTTAAGTTGTTCCATTCTTGTCCTTGCTCTCACACTCTGTCTTTTCCTCTTGTCTTCAACAGTTTCCTAGAGTTCGCATGATCATCCTGTGTCCTCCGGCTTCACTTGAAATCTTCTCCTGTCCCTCTACCTATCTATTCCTCTCCTCCCAACTCTTTCTAAGTCCCCATCCTGAAAGGTAAAGTTGCTGTTTGACGAGTTTATTCTCTATAAACACATTGTTTTCATAGTGTAAAATAACATGTCTGTGTACATATATGCATACATTTTCTAGAAATATATATAATAGGATATCAATAGTGGTAATCTCTGGATGGTGAGAATATGGGTTCTTTTTATTTTTGCTTATTCTTGTGCTACTTTATAATTTTAAGATTTTTGGGGTCTTAGTAAGGAGAAAAAGAAAATCATCTCTCAGTTGTAACTGAAGCCATGAGTGCAAATGAGATTTCCCAGGAAAAGCCACATGAAGAAAAGAACGCTGAGGAAGCACATTGTAGAAGCATCTACACGTCAGAGAGATGTGAACGGAATGCTGGTCAAAGCCTGAGGGTCTGTGAGGAAACAGAAGAAGCAGAAAAGCCAGAGGATAGTGACTCTAGAAAGAGGGAAGAGTCCGGGACATCAGGGACCACAGAGGGCCAATCAGCATGGCGCCCCAGAAAGTGCACATAGACTTGCTCGCAGCTGAGTGAGGAGGTAATGGCGGGCGCTGAGAGCCACAGAGAGTAACTGAAGGAGCAGTAGGGCCCTTCTTTGCACAAGGAGGTAGTTGTTACTGTTGTAGCCTGCCTAAGGACCATCCCGAACACCTCACCCTTGCTTGGAATAAAGTGCACGTAGCGCCCCCTGGAGGACATAAAGAGAAGGACCTAGGAAGCCTCGTAGAGGAAATTTGTTGGAAACTGGAAACATTTAAGGAATTTTCGGACTAATTGAGAAAGATGCCGACGGGAAAAGAGAAATTGAAAATCTCAGAGGAAGAGGATCGTTTATGGCCCAGGAATTCACAAAGGAGGGACAAGGTGGAAAGCACAGGAGGCAGGATAGCCCTCCTGGAGGACGGTCTCTCTGGATCAGAGAGGAAATAATCGGACTGCAAATCACTCTTTCTGTGGAATGCACCAGGTTCAATGGTGATTCGCAGCTGTAAATATACTTTGAAACAACTTTCCAGTGGCAGGGTGCTCTTTGTTGATTACTGCAAAGCCACATTAGCAGTGTTTGGATCATGTGGGTCACACTCTTTACAGGAGGATGGGATGTGAAGGGTGGTCAGAGACCTTTGTCACCCAGAGAATGTCTCCCAAGGGCTTTTCATAACCACAAGCAGTGTGATGACATAAGTTGACAATGCAAAGTTTTGAGTTGGCAGATGAGTTTGCAATCCATCTGCACATCCTGAATGCTGTCGAACTTGTTTGACTTGCTTCAGTGAACATCTACCAAATATCTACAGGGTTAAAAGGGTACTTTTCTTAAGACAGCCTACATTATTATGTGATCAACAATCTATTCAGAGAAGGGGCTAGAATAATCTAGACTTGTGCCTGCACAGTTCTCTGGGTGCCTGGAACTAAGAACTTCCTCCTAAAAATTGATGCCTGATGGAAAAGTTAAGGTACAGTGCTGACCGTGATCATTTCTTTTCTCTTTCTGTGCTCTCTTCTCTTTACCCCATTTTAAACCAAGAAAGCCCTTCTGGCTTCTTTATACCCTTGGAAGTCTGCGTCGGTGCTAATGATGACTCTGTCCCTGGAGCCAGCAAGTCTCAAATGTGTACACAATGCTCCAAACCAGGGCTTTGAGGAGACCATAGCAGCCTTCAAAGAGACCCACACACACTCAGGGTCCAGCAGCTCACACCGTGGATCAAAGGTGAGTGCCCCCTTATTTTTAGGATTATTGTGCCCAGCTGCTTGAAACAAGCTATTGGTCAGAGGGCTTTTTCTCTGGTGCCTATTTCTAGAACTTCTCTTTACAATTTTTCATTCAAGCAACGCTTAGAGTGAGAGGAGTAGCATCCTCATTTCCCTCAAATTTTTAAAAATCTCGGGGCTTTGTACAAATGTGTACAGAATGTAGAGGCTCCAGCCAGGAGTTGAGAGTGAAAAGGAAGACTTCTGTGGGAACGAAAGCATTGGAAGGTGCTGGGCCATTAATTACCTACAGTTCAGTGGGAATGGGACAGGATGGACGCAGGAACTCCGACAGGACTGGAGCTAAAGCAAACAGGAAGGTTTTAATGAGAAAGTCCCTGAGAGGAAATGACTCAATGTTACAAAATGTGCTCTGTCCATGGAAAGGAAGGGGAGCCGGTCCAGAGTGGGCTTTGGGAAGAGGCAGGACTTTCTGTTACACCTGACCATTTAGCAGACTTTTAGAGACCGTGCAGGCATGGATGCCCTCTGTCACCCAGTTATGCTGGCCAGTGCCCCCTGCACCCAGTAACAGGCAGGCCTTTCCTGTCTGGAAAGGAAACTATAAACAGTCTGGGAGGAAAGACATTTTAGAGTGGAATGAGAGAAAAGCATGAGCCTGGTAATTCTGGAAGAACAACTATCAAAGGCAGTGACAAGGGAGAAAAGTCAACACAAATGAACTGTGGAGCCACTGGGCTTCTGTGATTTGAGGAGCAGAAAGAATGTGGGAGCCTCAGTTATATTACAGAAGCTCACAAGAAACTTCCCAACCTTCCCTGATGGAGTAAACTGCTCCTTCAGTAATTCCAAAGTGCATATTATAAACCACTTAGTAAGGGGGAGAGGAAGAGTACTGTTATTTCCAGCTAGACCCAGCTCTCAGTGCTGTCGCTTCTGGGTATCCTGGCTATCTCTTAAAAGCTCTCTGTCTTTTACATTTTATCATTTACACTACTTGCTTCAGTGACTCTGAATTTAGTTTGCCACTCTGCTGTATGGTTTTGCTGCTGTCTGATCACTTGCTTTTGCCTGCATTACCTACCAGGGTGTGTGCAATGGGCCTCGGGACAGGAAGCCAAAGCTTCCTGACCAATGACCCAGGCTAGCTAGCAGCTTCTGTCCTTAAAAACGCATTTTTCTTCCTTAAGGTCTTTTTGCTCACACTAACTTAGTCTTGAAAAATATTCCTGGAGTGCCCAGAGGAAGAGCTCGTGTCAATTCAGATTAACATGTGTTCAGGCACCTACCATGTGGCCGGCACGCAGAGGGATCTGAAAGTGAACTAACTCTTAGTTTTTACTTTCCTGGACTTTACTATCATGAGGGAGACCAGTTCTGACAGGCTGTGAGCGGAGGATGACTGGTGTCCTGGATACAGCTTGTTGTTCTTGTACTCATTCAGAAATATCTATGCAGAACCTACCTTGTGCTGTGCGTGCTTCAGTACCCTGGGGAGACAGCAAGGATGTGGGAATCTGAGAACAGACAAACCAGAGCCCAAGCCCTGCCTAAGATATGACTGTGCTAGTGGGCAAATCTCCTTACCTCTGTGGGCTCCAGATTTCTCATTTTAAAAATTCCAATCACAATACTGATCACATTAATAATACTCTTATACAAAGTTCTTGTGAATTTAAAAGGTAGTTATGATGTGCACTAAATAGTACAGTGGTACCTCAGTTCACAAGCTTGATTCTTTCCACAATTCTGGCTGCAAACCAAGTTAGATGAGAATAGAATTCATGGGCATGGCAAAAGGAGAAGTACAGCTATATGGGGTTGGCCTTCCAGTGGAGGGGGTGCTAAAAGCAGTGGTCCTCAAAGGTCCATGAGTTTTCTCCAAGAATGTTTTAATTTGCCACCTTAGAATTAGAATTTGATTATTATTTCATTATTTCACATATATATATTATATTCTTAAAGCTCATATATTCTGAATTATCTGAATATGCAATTTATGGTCCAGTGTCCACAGAATTCCAGCCTCCACATTTGTTTTGTGATTGCATTAATGCTAAGTATAGTTACTTTATTTACCAGGCTAATGGAGCAAGAAGAAAGATGGGCTTGACCCGTAAATGTGTTTACATCTGCTGAAAGTTAAAACACAGCAGGGTGCATTTCATACAAAAGGTTTTAGAAGTAGTTGTGATAGAGAAAAACTGAGAAGGAAGAAGGGACGTCTGAATCAGGGACATGGGAATATGGATGAGCTGACTTTTAAGACTAGGCTTGAACCATCAGTACCATATTTTGTGAGTAGAGATTGCATTTAAGGATAACAATATGATGTCACATCTCATTAATGTTGTCGCCCTTAATTTTACTGCTTTTGTGACTCTTTGATATTTAAGTCATACATTTGTTATCTATAAGCACTAAAATCAAGCGAGTTAGTAACTAGTTTTAAACTATACAAATTTAAACTACATATTAATAAAAAGAAGTCTAACCGAAGGGCCCACAAGGCCCTAAAAGCAGGATGTGTTCTAGATTAGGAGAAGGCTGCTGGGATCTCTTCTAGGTATAGGAGGAGGAAGGCCAAACCGGAAGTGCCACTGTTCTGGAGGAAGAAGGCCTGTGGCCTCAGATTCCTGGGAACATTCCAGAACTGATGCTATTCGAGAAGAGCTTGGAAAGGGTCAGAGTTGCTTCTGTGACTCATAAAGACCTCACCTCCCACTGTTTCTCTCTTTTCTCTTACTCAGCTCACCACAGTCATACATGGCCAGTTCATGGTAATGAACAAGGTGGACATAGTCCATACCCTCAAAGAGTTTGCAGTGGAGTGGGCCATTGCATTTACACTTTAATTCTCCATTTTTAACCTCTTGTCCCTTCCCACAACCCATTGTAACAGGGACACAGACATGGAAGGTGGAGCTGCAGATGCCCACTGAGTAACTCAAAGCAGACCTCATTGCCTTCATTTTTTAGTTTCCTTTATTACCTTAAAACTTTGAACCAGATCCCTGCTCAGCCACACACGTAGGCATGTTAGTCACTTTAGAGTGAATGTCTGTAGAACAAAGTTTGTTAGCCCCAAATTTCTCTCACTTATCTCATTCCCCTTCAAGACTGAAGACACCAAGATAGGAGTAACTAAAGTAATTTTCAAGGACATATCCAATTGCTAGCTTTTACAATACCCACTTCCAGACTCCGTGGAGCAATATCTAGAAGTCTCTGGTCATTGTCCTAAACCTGCAGTCACCTCCAATTCCAGGAAAAGCAGAGCCTCCAAAATCACCACACGATGCTGCCCACCAAGCAGGAGCAATTATCCCAAGAAGGGAACAGAGTCTGCTCTCCGAATCAGGAGCCATTATCCACTACGGGAACTAAATTGCCTCCTTTGGTGATTATGGGTCTCTCAGAAACTCACAGAATCATCCCTAAGATACTGATCAACAAGACCACGTCTAGACCATGGATACCTAAGCTGCCAGCTATGCAAACCCCCTGATTATGCAAACCCCAGATTTCCTGCTTCCCCCACCCCACACACACTATGGCAATGCTGATTGAAGCTCCTACTGGTCACCATTGCTCTTCTTGATTGGCATTAGGGGATGGCCAGCTGGGCTTGGTCTGCTCGACCCCTGAAGTTGGGGTGTTCAGCCCAAAACTCTGGTAACCTAAGTCTTCAAAATTATGCACAAGGAGGGCAGGGGATATGGCTCAGTGGCACCACTCCTGCCTCGTAAGTGCAAGGTCCTGAGTTCAATCCCCAGTACCGCAAAAAAAAAAAAAAAAAAAAAAAAAAAAAAAAAGCTATCCATGAATTAGTAATTGCTAAAGCTATAAGGAAGTTCACTGTACAATTTCTTCTACTTTTTTCTCTGGGTTCAATCCCCCGTACAGGAAAAACAAAACATAAAAGTAGATTTTTAAAAAATGTGAAAAAAGGAAAAAATGGAAACAAAGTCTTTGTAAATAAGGAAGGGTGAAGGGGCTGAAGGGAGGGCAGGGGTATGGGGAAAAATAACCAAGATATATCATATAAAGGTACGAGATCCCAATGATAAATGTAACTGTATTGCTTTAAATGTACCAATAAACTTAACAGGAAAAAAAAGAAGATAAAAATGAAAGACTACTATGATTCTTTTGTGTAGTTAAATAAATTCATTATATTCTTAACATATGCTTTTAATTCTGTTTACAGAATTATGTTTTGATTTTTGCAAATGTCGGGTCATTAAGCAAGACTATTTAATGTCTACTGTGTACATAGAAAGCTTTATTAGATGTGGTATACCTAAATTATTTTTTATTTTGTTAAAATATCTACCCAATTCTGCATGTACCCAATTCATGTTTTTCCAGAGAAAGTTGTTTTCAGTTGTTATGTGTAGATTTAGTGTGTTGAAATAAACTGTACCATAGTCACACACACAAAAAAAATCCTGCACAAGGGCCAGGAATTTAGCTCAGTGGTTCTACTGCCTGCCTCCCAAATGCAAGGACCCAAGTTCAATCCCCGATACCAAAAAATAAATTTAAAAAATAAAATAAAATAATGCATAAAATTACCACCCTATTTGTGCAAATAAACAAGCACCTTTTGATGTATCCCCATACCTAGAAAGGGATTGTTTGTTATGTCAGAGATATTTTCTCAAACTTTTTTCTTAGCACTAGTCTGATTGCAGACCAGGAACCTTCAAAATCCAAGGACTTTGGACTTCAGGATCCAGAGCAATTTAGGCCAGTGCTTGGGAGCAGAGCCTGAGACAGAGTTCTGAAGACACGTGATCTGTTGATCTACTCAGGAAGAACTTGGAAGGAAGGAAGGAAGGAAGGAAAATAAAGGGAAAAAAATGGACTCTATCTGCAGAGTACCCTGGAGCACAAATGATACCATAGATTTTCTACAGTGTATACATGTGCCACGCAGTGTGTGTGTGTGTGTGTGTGTGTGTGTGTGTGTGTTGGGGGCAAGGAGTGATGGGGGGACAACTTCCAAGCTGAGGCCATGCTCATCAACCCTAAGGTTAATTCCCAAAGAAGGAAGAGGCTGTCAGCTGTTAGTTTAGAGCCCCTGTACGATGGAGGTACTGGCCCCATGAAAGGTTGGGCACTACATGAACCCACCAAATGCAGGGCTTACCTTCACCAGTTACTATGACCATTGCAGTCTCTGAAAAGCACCCAGAGCCACAGGTGTCCCACGTTCTCCCTTTGAACATTACACATAGAATTTTTTTAATGAAAAGCTAAGAAATTTACTTAAATTGTCAAGATTTTGCAATTTGGTTCATGATGGAAACATTCACATATAATAATCACACAGTATCATTTTCAGATATTTGATGTTAATGTAGCAAGGACAAGAACGATGTTATATTTGATAGTGAGTCCAGGTACATGGAAAACACTCCACTGTTCTCATTTTAATATGAATACTAATCAACCAATCTGTTATTTTGGCTTAAAGTTAAAATACAGAAGTTCTTCTATTTTTATGTTTATTTGCTCCTATGTGGTTTTTTTTTGCTTCGTTTTGTTTAAAGCTGCCCATACCTGAAATATGTTCAGTCAAAATGGAAGCCATGCAAAGTGTTGCTTTTCTTTTACATTAGAAATCAGAAAAATTTATAAACAATATCATACTATAAAATGCTTTATTTTTAACATAGCAGATGGACTCAGCGTTCCTTTTCTGAGCTCAAGAAGATTGATCAACCCCAAGAGCCCCTATAGAGAGTCATCCTCTTAGACAGACTGGCATACTTTCCAAATTGTCTATCCAAACTTTTGTCACTTTTTTCTGGGATTCCAAGGAGGAAAAATGGGCTGGGTGAAATATGCTTCTGTTGTGGTACTAGAACATTCTGGGAAGGTTGGTCCAAAGAAGTGAATTTCTTCTCCTGTGCTAGGAAGTTGACATTCACTTGATCCCTTCTCCTATCAATTCAAGACACTAGAAATGTGAGTAGAAGAAAATCCTGATAGGCTCAGAGGGTTATGTTACTAGAGGACATTTGTGTGTGTGTGTGTGTGTGTGTGTGTGTGTGTGTGTGTGTGTGTGTGTGTGTATTTTTTTTTGGGGGGCT